CGTAATCGTTAAAACGCTAATGATACGATTTTTGCAGCAATGTAATGATTAAATGTTGCAAAAACGCCGCAGGCTGGATTCGCTTTTCTTTGTGCCGATTGCCAGGCAGCCCATCTGGTTAATTAGCGTAGAAAAGGGCGCAGCCAAAGAGATACATCAACAACATATGCTCAGGCAGGTTTAGCAAACTGTCATTGGCAGCAGCAGCAGCAGCAGCAGCAGGAACAGCAACAACTAAAAATAGTTGCACGTGTGCATTTTTGACTATTAGACGTAATAGCTGAATGCATCATAATTTACCTTGACATTTAGACCAATGTCTGCGCATGCCAAAGTTAATTGCCAGCTGCAACAGCAACAGCAACAGCAACAGCAACAGCAACAACTATGCAAATTGCAAATGCTTTTGCTTACACGCCTGCATTTTGATTAGGTTAACTATTTATAGAACGCGCTACGATGCGCGTTGCCTGGCATTCCTGCCAGCAACATATGCACAGCACACCAGCAATCAGCAAAGAAATAACTGCAGCAGCAGCCGCAGCAGCAGCAGCAACCTGCTCAATGACTCATGCGCCGTATAGCAACATAATTATATTGATATGCCTAATTAGCGACTGCAAAAGGAATGTCTAAACATCGCCAGCTCTCTCATGTGGACTGGGCAAACAGGTGGCAGCATTTCGCACTGTGTCGCTGAAGGTCAGCAGCTTTTCAAGCGGCGTCGGTGGCGGCGGCAACAACAAATGCAATGCCAATATCTAGTTCCAGCTGCCGGCAACAGCAGCACCGATTTCTCTATATATGTCTGCTGCTGCTGCAATTAGAATTCATTTTGGTAGTCCAAAACAAGAAAAAGCCAAAAAAGCAATCTTTGTTTGTACTCAGAACTCGCCGACAACAACAACAGCAGCAGCAGCAGCAGCAACATGTTGCGGCAGCAGCAACAGTTGTCGATGTGGGCGCTTAACGAAAATGAAAACTGACTTCAAACTGCTGGGCAAATGTTATTTTTTTTTTTTGGTTTTCAATTTGGTTTTTTGGTTTATGTTTCGGTTCATATTCGAACTGGTCTGCAAGGCTGCGGCTGTGGCTGTGGCTTCGGTTGCGGCTGCGGCGCATGCTTGTGGCCAACTTGGCAACCTTTAAAAGAATGCGGACTTGCCAGAAGTACACACACACACGCACACACTTAGGTAGATGTAGGCGCATAGGCGCATACATAACGAAAAAGAAAAGAAGAAAAAAAATAACTCAAAAGTTTGTGGCAACAAAAGGCAAACTCGGCTGGATGCCTTTTAATGCGGCTGCTGCTGTTGTTGTTGTTGTTATTGTTGTGCATGGTAGGCTCGTTGGTGGAACGAAAAGTTTATGGCTTATATGGATTACAAAAAAGAGCTAATAGTTCATAGGCCGTTATTGAAAACAGTCATAAAACCAAACAATATGAAGAACTGTGAAACTAGACTTTGACTTAAAACGCATTTATTATGAGCCAATCAAATCATAAGTCTCCTTTATGGCCTATATAGCGGTAAGATCTGTAGCCTATGCTATAATATAGGACAGTATATAGTTTTCAAGCTGTAAATATATATAATCTTGTCCATCTGCTAGATTCCAGAGTCGACTACAGCAGACCAAGTCTAACAATCAATCATTTTTTGCTATCTTTATGAAATCGATAACAAAAAATAGTTATCGATCTTGAATTGCTTATGTATCTTTAGCTTGTTTGATATAAAGTATTGAATCTATTTTTCTTTTATGATTTATTTGTGTTTCCTTTGAGAATCTATTTGAACAACTGCAACTGCAGCTCTGCTCGTTCAGTCTCTCTCACTCTCACTCCTTATCTCTCTCTCTCTCGCAGTCTCTTCTGTTATTTGTGGACTTTCCAGTCGTTAACTTTAATGACTACCCATGGAACAAATCCAATGCCGCAATTGTTGTCTGTCTGATGCTTGAGTGTGTATGTGTGGAGCAGAGTGCTTAGTGGCATGGGTATCGGGGCACAACTTATGCTACATGCCACAGCTGCAGCGGCAGCCACGGCTTGTTTACAGGAATTTTACAACTATGCAGCCGGCTCTGATTTGTTGCCAGGAGCAAAAGCCATGAGACGCGATTTGAGAGAGATATGTGCAAAAAAGCAGTTAGCAAATTTAATAAACGTAAAAAAAAATATATATATATATATAAGTAAGAGTGCTCTAGTCTAGTCTGCGACTCGACTAACAGATACTCTAATGGGGGTTAAACTATAAAGAAATGGAAATAGTTTAGACGAAAAACTAAATACTGAAACGGTCTCTAAGGGGTAACAGTACTCTGGCTCGACTGCCATAATATCGGGCAATCTGACAGACTTAAGCCATACCCCAGCCTTAACCACCTCCTACAGCTCAAAGGGCATTAAAATGCGCTCTTTTCGCTATATTTGCGAGCAGGCAAATTAAAAAAAAATTAAGTGTAAAAAATGAAAAGACGCAGCATAAGACGAAGTGGGGAGACGCAGTGCGTCATGGAGATAGAGTCACGGGCATCATTATAAGCCCTATACGACTGAGATGCAGCTTAAAGAAATAGTTTACCAGTCGCAGAATCAGAGTCACGTTTTTGTTGCTGCTCCACTCACTTGCCCAGCCCCGTCGTGCGGTACGGTAATGAGCCGAGAGTTCTTGGAACTGCGCCAACGCCGCGTCCTTGAAACAGGTTTCGCCCATAAACCAGCCGGGCAACGGCCTGTGACTGTGTCTTCGAAAGTGGTTCTAAGCAGGTCGCATCTTAGAGTAATATACAAATTTTACTATTACTCTATTAATTAGAAGACGGCGAAAATATATGGCACTGATTCTCAGAGGCCATTTAAATTTACATTAGCTGCACATATTGCACCGAGAGAGAGAGAGAGAGAGAAAGACAGAAAGAGAGATAGAGAAATGTGCCTGAGCAACGCTTAAAAGCGTCCATAAAAATCAGGCAGGCTCGACCAGGCACAAAGCGTCTGATAAAATTAGCAAAATTATTGCCACACAGTAGCCCAGGCCAAGGCAGACAGCAGAGGACAGTCGGCAGACGACAGACGGCAGACGGCAGACGGCAGGCGGGTCAAAGCGCCATGGGACGTCATTCGATTTGACTAAGTGGCTTTGCACAGTGGGCAACCACAGCTAAATTTTATTAAATTTCTTAAATAAGCTCAGACTAAACTACTGCCAGCGAAAGCAACAAGTATAACTGTCAAATGCAGTTCACAATAGTGAATTAGCCTTTAATTAATCGACGACTATCGACTATGATACACATCACTAATCTTATCAATGCATTACTCATTTTGGCACTGAGCACAAAAGTCTTATATTTAATTAACATTAATTGCTGCTAATAGAAAAATGAATTTATGAGCGTAAAATGAATTTATGTTAACTAGAGTCATTTAAATTAGCATTCAAAATATTTTATATTTGAACGCTTAAAAGTAGATTTCTCCCAGAGTGCCACATAATCGTATCTAAGTAAATGCATTCATAGTTGCACACGCAAATGTCACATCAATTAGGCACGCAGCAGAGGCGCCCACTTTGACTTGGGCAGATGTTAGCTGACGCGAGTTGTAGACCGAGTGGCTCGCTTGATTGGTTGTTTGATTAGCATTAAGTCTCAAATTAGCATTGACTACTTTCAAGTACGTTTGCCCACTTTCAAAAGTAAAAGGCAGTTGTGTAAATTATCGATAAGTAAAAGATAGCAACATATAACATACTATGTTAATTCGCGTGTCAACTTCTGTTATTTAAGTCAGTGTTACTGTTAACGCAGAACAAATGTCTGGTTCATTGCCCGTCCACCCACATGCCGCAATGGCAGCTGTTAGACGACCTTCATTCAAATGCCTTTCCTTGGCCTGCGTGTGCCGAGCAGCTGAAGCGAAGTGCAAATATTTGTAGCACGCCAACAAAAACATAAATATTATGAAAACGATCGGCATAAGAAACATATAGCAAACTGTGTGCTCACATGTGTTTATTAATAACATGCTCTGATAATCACCTAACATATACAACACTTGGACTTGAACTGATAGAATTGGCCTTTTTTATTGAGCAATCCAGGAAATGTTGATAAGCGTGTGATAACCCCTGCTGCAACCACCACTGAGAAAAAAAAGTACCTATTTTTATTATTTTTTCCGGTAAGCTATCAGGTTTTTCGGTTTTATTAGGCCTTAACTGCTGCACAGTGTTGTTAGTACATATGACTTAAAATTGCATATATAACATATAGCTCACATTTGATAGAGTTAAAGGTAGTGAGTAATAGTGATATATATAAAATACATGACATATATAGAAAGTAAATGCAAGTAACTGAAACGTTAAATGTTCAAAGTATACCAATTGGGTTGACTCCAGCTTTTGAAATCTTTGAGATATACATGATTATATGAATTACGATATCGATTTGAAAAGTTATCGATTAATACAATAGGACAGCTCTTATACTTATACACATACTTATACTTATTCGTATACAGAAAGACCAACAAATGGTCAGGGCTACATCGGCTCGACTGTTCATCCATGTCATGTATGTGCCTTATGGCGTTGCCCCTCGCCACGACCGACTTACCATGAATTCAAATAATAAGTCAATAAATTTCAAGCGCAATTCACCTTAGCTTTTGTATACTTTCGCAGTTTAATCGTGTCAAATATGACATTTCTAATTAGACTGCTAAGTTAGTTCGACCCAAATGGAAAAGTAGTTTCAATACAAACTCCAACAGCATTAACACCTTAGATTTGCCTACAAAACTCAGCGCTGAAAAATTCGACGGCTCGCAGATTGGCAAATTATGTTAATTATACGCTCCGTTGGGCGAAAAGTGAAAAACTGAATGTGAAATGGAAACTGTATTCGAATTGGGTTTTTAGGCCTTAACTAATTTGTCTGGACTTGATTGCGAGCTAACTAATGCAGCATTCCTATAATTGCAGCGCACTGTGACAGCAGCAACATCGACAGCGGCAGCAGCACCCGAGAGCAACAATTCGTAGCATGCGTCTCTTTAAAGCGCGCAAATCAACGGACACTTACAGCACTTTAAGCGCCGCTCAGCAGCATCAGCAGCAGCAACAGCAACAGCAGACGAGCAACAGTTGTGCCACCAGCAAGCAATATAACAGCAGCAACAGCAACGGCAACGGCAACCGAGCAACAACATGCAGCAACAGATTCAGCAAGAGCATTGCCAGCAGCACAGCGATATCCTCATCGTTGCCTGATTTACACGATAAGTCGCCCGTCATGATACTCAGTTGCACAACGCTAACAAGCAATGGCGCTGCTGCCACGGCAACAGCAGCAGCAACTGTTGCCGCCACGTCAGCAACAGCGCCAACTGGAGGCAATAATGGGCAGCCTTTACGCACGGCCACGCCCACATGTTTGCTAAGTGGACGCCAGACGCCATCAGGGCTATCAATGCTCTCCTTGCAAGAGTCCAATGCATTGCATAGGCAACAGCAACAGCAGCAGCAACCTTCCATTTTTGTGCCCACTAAACTGGGCAACAATGCCAACAATGCCAGCGCAGCTAACTTTCTGCTCAGCTACGCCAGCAGCAGCAGCATTAACAGCATCCAGCAGCAGCAGCAGCAGCAGCAGCAGCAGCAACACCAACAACAGCAACAGCACTATCAGCAATATGTGGCACAGCGTCTGCATCCTGCAGGCAACTCGTCCTCCAGCAGCTGCCTGTATGAGAAGTCCAACTCAAATGGCTCCTCAAGTAGCAGCAGCATCAACATCTCACTGGCATCAAATGGTAAGTAGAAAACGAAACGAATCGAACAGATGCGCTGCATATATATTTAGGTCAAGTTGAGGTTGAGTATATAATCAAGCTTATATATACTTAGGTATATCATATCTGATTAGCACATAGTCGCATCTATGTCTCATAGAACCTCTTCAGAAGTACTGGCAGCCCGCTGCAATCGTTTAGCTGCCAGTAACAATCCTCCTCCGCCGCCGCCTTCTTCTTGGCAACTTCTTCGTAATAGCCCGATCCCTGGCGACTGCAATAGTTGCTGGAATTGCTGTTAGGCGCACGCTGTAGTAGGTAGAATCCTGACTCCAACTGCTGCGGCATATTGATGAACCAAGTGTCTTGCATTTCGCATAGATTCTCCAGGCGTAGCCAGCCATGTGACGTCTCGGCCACCAACGCCAGTTGCCACATGCAGCAGCGGCTTTGGGCCCCCAGCTGCAATGCTCCAGCTGGCAACAGATAGAGCAGGTCTCTGTCGTGCTCCAAGCACAGCCAGCGACTCCGAGCCAAGATCCGCAATGCACTTGGCAAACTCAGCAACATGTTCTGCAATTGGCTGCTATTCCATGCCGGATCCGTTTGCAACTGACGCAAACTCAACGCAAAGTCCAGCAGCAACTGATGATTGTTGTCCAAGCGGCTCGTGCGTCGCAGCTGCCAATAGAGACTGAGCCACAGACGCAGCCTTAACGGATTTTGAATGCTGCTATTGGTGCTGAGCAGCTGCTGCAGCTCCCCGTACTCCATTGGCGGATTCTCCAAGAAGTTGACATTCCAGGCCAAGCGCTGCTGCTCCTCTGCACTCAGCTGCCTCGTCCAATTCTCGAATTGGCCCTCAGAGCCATTTAGTTGCGGCAGCAGCATTTGCTTCAAATCAAATCTGAATCTGCCCTGCGCTTGCACCCAGAATACTGGCAAAAAGAGCTGCCAAAGCTTTAGACCCCATCGCCCAACCATCGTCACGCAAACTGACAGCAACTTTCTCCAGTGCTGATATTTATAAAGTCCCAAGCGTTCAATGATTACGATAGCGATTGCAACACTTGTACCATTTTTGAATATAGATAAGAAATGCAGAAATAATATGAAATAATAATAATAATTTAAGTTACATTATAAATCAAAAGATAACTTAGTATAAAATCGTAGTCATACCTCAAGATTCTCAATTAATATAAAAATTAATTACATTTACTTTAGGTTTTTTAGAAACATTTGAGGGTATTAAAGCTTTAGACTCTCAGAAATCATTTTTCTTAAATATTTTCCGGCTATCTTTCCGTATTTTTTTGTACGCTTGGCCGCTATCAGTCGAATGTTAATGATCTTTCGTCGATCGAGGGGCGAATGCACTTTCCATTTACAAATTATGCGAATCAGTAATTAATTTTCACTTTTCACTTTTCAAGGACATATGCCCGACTACAAGCTGGTGACAGCCGTGCCTGTCGTTGTCCTGGATGATGAACAGAAATTGGTAACAGCCGCTGGTGACGCAAATAGCGATGCTGGCAGCAGCATTAGCACAGGCAGCGCCACCTCCTTGGCCAGCACCACGCGAAATGGTGAGTAGCACGCCCCCATACTGCCCCGGCTCCAGCCCAAGATTAAAAGCAAACAAGCGACCAAAATAGATGGCAAGCCCCAAAGCCTTAAATGCGCTGAAATTGATTTTTAAATGATGCCGCCCTAGTGGAATGACATCTTTATCTATATTTATGGCAGTGTATATATGTGTGTGTGTATGTGGACAACTTACCGTGCCCCATATCTAATAATTTATAGACTCGCCTCCCCTCTCTCACACTTTCACACTCTGTTAGAGACTTGCTATAAATTAGATGGCGACTGTGAGTGGCCAACTTTTTAGTGCTTTTTAATTGGTTCTTAAGCAGACATTCTATTGAAAAGAGCTGTCTTACATTGGCATAAATCAATTACATTTCAAATATCTTGTTTGCGCTGCAATTTGCCAGTTAAAGAAATCAAAGAAAAGGAGCAAACAGAATAAAAACAAACACACAGCAATTCAAGGCGAATTGCCATTCCCACCCCACTCTCCGTCAGCTAATTGTGTCATCTCGCTCTAACTTACATAACTTTTAACATATGTTAGTGCGTTCGCCTGTCACACACATATACTTATGTATAAGAGCAGATTTCAGCCAATCAGCCCATTCCTTCAAAATAACACATGCTAAGCGGAACTAGTTCAGTTACTGGCAGCTCATTCAATAACATTCAATTTACAATATAAATTCCATTGGAGTCAGTTCGAGTTATTTGGTTCGTTCAATGAAAAGATTTCCGCATGTGTCAACGCATCATCAAGCAGTCGCGATTGTCATCGATACTTGAATGTGGGCATGGCTATGTGTTTATGTATAAAGGTATAAAGCACGCCCTGAAATACCGTATTGACCCGATTTTGCGCCGCACAGTGGGCATTGTGGCCTAAGAGCGTGGCCAAAACAAAACTGCAAACATGGTCTTTCGTATGCTTTTTGCATTTATTGCTTCATTGAGAAACTCTGAGTTTTACAACGCGAAATGTACAAAGGCCCCACTGTGCGTAATGCGATCCAAAGCCACTGGGGCTGCGACTCGGTCTGGGATGGTACTTTTATGGTCTGGACTGAGGTTTCGGTTAGGGGCCCTAAATCCCATAAGCGACCAAGTGTGACAAAGCGTGGCATTATGTGATTCATTTGACTGATGATTCGCAATGCAAGACTCCGTTGTGGTTTGTGTGCTACGAAGAGCGAGTGATATAACTGATTGGCTTTGCAGCCAAATGGCAGCAAACTGCGAAAGAGCTAGAGAAATAAGATACATTTCTGTTAGAAATAGCAAAGTTACATATAGAAGAGAATCATAAGATTTTGTCTAGCTAATAGTCAGAAGAGTTTGCCACCTTCTGATGGGGTTTCAGCTTTTGGCAGACATAAATCTATACAATATGTTCGACTTTAGTCAGACTTCTTATTAAGCTCGAGCAAGGCAAGCGATGCAGCTGTTAGATTCAAGCTACTGAACAAAATTACACTAGCCAACAAGTTTAATAAGCATGTCATGGGAAATATACGATCAGAAGCATTTGCATAATGTGGCTGAGTCGTCGAGCCGAATCGAAAGCCGAGTCAGAGCCGCCAGAACATGAGAAAGAGCGAGTGGTGCTTGGGATGGACGAGAGTGAAGCGAAGCAATAACAAATATTCAAAATGAGGCAGAAAACGGCAACCAAAATGCACGCGGCATACAATAATATCTCACGTACGCGTTTCAATTCTTCGATCTAGATCGTCGCATAACGGGGAAGGCGCTGAGTTTGAATGGGGCAGGGGCAGGGGCAGCGGAACGGGCAGGAGAAAAATGCGAAACGAATGCCTTGGACTGAGCTAAGAGATCGATAATCGGGCAGCGAAATAAATCAAGTCGAGGTAGAAACATGTAATAAGCGATAATCCAGTATAAATGCGCATGCGTGCAATGCAGATGGAATAGTTTCGTTGAAGATGAAGATGAAGATGGAATTCAACGCAGATTCCAAATTATAGCATTTATGTGTTGTTCCTTTTTTTTTGCCGACTGTCGACCGCCGACAGCTGGGCGAGAACAGATCTAAAGCTATGGCGCTTATTGATTTCTCATGGTGCCGCTGTTGTGGCTGCTTTGGAAATCAGAGCCCTGGCCAATTATGGCCATAATTTAAGCCCTGCAGAAAGTCATTTACAGCTATTGATGTGGCGTTTCTGACCTTGGGGCGCCACTAATTAGCATCAATTAAAATCGGCATTAGAATGACGCACAACAGCTGACAAAGCTGAGGCTGAGGCTAAATTGTCTGTGACACGCAACACAAATGGCGAAAAACATCTCCAACAACTTGAATGCAATGTGACAACAGCAGCTAGAGCTGAGCTTTGTTAGCAAATAATTGAATGGAAATGCCAGCACCAAGCGATCGGGGTTATCGAACTGTTCTGGCTATCGTATGCTTGTATTGTTATCGAACTATTGTCCTTTTAGCTATCGCTTTTGGCACATCATTAAAATTGCTGAAGCTTTGAAAACGTCGTTGCAAAGAATCATAAAACGTCTCCTAAATAGCTAAAATCGGTTACATATATACAAATTTTGATGAACAGCAACTTATGTATGTCTTAGTAGCTAACTATGTACTTATTATTTATATGAAAGTAAATAAAAAGGGTATAATATTTGCGTGCAAATATTTGCGTCAGACCGTGGCTGTACACTCTAAGAATGGATATATTCTTGATCAGGATCAACAGCACATTCCATCAGTCTGTCAGCTAGAATGGTACTCAGGGTATCTGCTAGTCGTGCACCTTTGACTAGTGCACTCCAACTTGTCTTTTTCCTCATTTCCCATTCCCCATTTGCCCAGCTCCGTCTCTGCTGGCTTGATGCCAGCGCGAGAGAGTTGCAACGAAGCCGGCTTGGAGCTGGCGGGCACTTGACACCGTCTTAAAAGATAAGTGGGTGTAGAATTTGTGGCATGTGGCCGGCGGTCGTTTTTGATACAGCGATGAGTTGAGTGTGTGCCGCGTGGCAGAGGCTGTCATATAATTGATGCCCGGACCATTTGCTATTATTGTTTAACACCCATCCTCCTCGCTTCGCCAGCAACTCTGATTGGCAAACGGCTTCGCGTGTTGAAATTTTAATCAAATGCAAATGGACAGCGCCGTCGGCCGTCGGCCGTCGACCGTCGTACAGAACAGAATTGCGGAACAAAGTCGGTCAGGCCTGGGTGGAGCTGTTAGTGGCTGAGCTCCAACTATACATGGATAGCTGCAGTTGTTTCAACTGTCAACCCGAATTGAGGCTGCGCGCCCACACATTTGGCCCGCAGCTGGGCTGAGGCTATTAAACATCTTTGGCACGAGTCACAGGAGGAGGAGGCCCATGCCGATGTAAATGCAGATGCAGTTGGAGTCCAAGCCAAAAAGACTCGCTAGCGCACTTAATGTCATAGATGAAAATAGTTTTCAAAATTTTATTGAGTCCATAACGTGCTGGCGATGCTCGGCGAGCTGCCAGCCAACCACAAGAGATTGCTTCAGCTGCTTCTTATGAGCACCTTTTATACTAATTGTTGGTGTAACTTCAGTGCCCTCGCCCTCCCTCTAGCTCTCCTTTTCCCTGCATTTGCTAGAAATATGGGACAAACGCATAAATTTGCTTATAAACGAACCGAATCTGGCAGCGTAACTAGAAACTCCACCCATGAATGGCTTTTTAAGTGTTTGCCCATCGTTGCTAAACCAGATCGTTAAAAGTTACGACCATTTCACATACGCTTCCTAGGTACTTCGCCATTGTCATTGGGCTGTATGTGAAGCATAAACATTGCACTGCCTTAGGAACACAGCTGAGGTCAATGTGAATGATTTCGTCTGGTAAATCCTAAATGATGGAAAACTGTTTTGAAGTATGGTATAAAAATGTAACTCAAATTAGTTTTTGATATCTTATATATAAGCACTTATCCAAAGATTGGCTATTCGTTGCCTTATACAAGTTAGGTAATATGTCTCTTATACCAGACAGTTGACAATAGCTATTGCATAAGCATGTGTAGACTTATTCATATTGGCTTATACAAATTGTCTTATACAAATAAACTAAGCTAGAAACTCTTATACCATGATTGAGACTTGGCATCTTATACAAACTATAAAATATTTATTATATGCGTATGATTGCACACACTTATATCAAGATAGATTTATCGTCTTATACAAATATAAGACACAAGCAGTCTAACTTTTTTAATATAGAATCGATATAAATATTATTCACAAAATATGAGCAAGAAGACTTTAAATTTTATTTTATTAGGCCATATAACGATTAATTGGTAAATTGCATTAATTGAATAATTTGTTGATTAGCAGTTGAATAACAATCATGGACGAGTTCTCAACACAAGCCCTCGCCTTCATCCTCGAGTTCTCTGGTAGTGTTCGCTTCATTGGCATCACTAGATTTCTTCTCTACTTCTAGACCCTTGGGTAATGGAATGTTCTTGGCTAGAATGGCATACTCCACGTCCATGTGTCGGATGAATGGAGATGCCAACATTTTAGCTGCCAGCTCACCGTCCTCGTCGTCAAAGGCTTGCAGGAGCGTCTGCAGCGTGGAGACTTCTTCAGCCTCACAGCAGTTGCCCCATTCTTTGAAGGACTTTTCGGCCTCCACAGAGTCACCCAACGCCAATTGCACTAAGACAAGCGCCACAACCAAACGTCCAATCTGACCATAAGATTCAGTTTGCTGATAGAATCCAATTTCTTTTTTAAGCGCCTTTGTCGCCTCTTCGTATCTCTGCAGCTTCACCAAGATTCTTGATACTTTCGAAGAGTACTCGGAGGCTTGCCGTGTTGAGTCCTCAATCATAATGACCTCAACTGCGTGCTGATAAAAACGCAAAGCCATCTCCGGATGCTTCTGCTCTGTCAATTTGGCTGCTTTGTCCAAGGCGGAGGCGGCAGCTTCTGGTGAGCCATGTTGTTGATACAAGCTACACGCTTTGTTGGCATATTCCTCAACATCTGTGAGTTTGTCCAGGTCTTTGCACAGCAGGATTATCTGCTCGTATGACTTTGCAGCGTGGAACCAGGATTTGTTGTTTTTGTAGCACTCAATAGACTTTAGCAAACACTCCTTGCTTTTGTCGAATGATTTCGCAATGCGATATGCAGTTGCTGCCTTCGCGTACTCATCGGCAGCACTGTCATAGTCAGGTACCCATTTCAATAGCGATGTTTTTAAGCTTTTTTCAGCTGTGTGGACCAATTGTTCAGCCTCGGCAATTTTTTTCGCAGCCACAGACATGTTATTAGCTTGCGAAAAATCAATTGTTGTTTACGTGTGCAGTGTGACTGTATGCGCAGTTGCATAAAAAGACAATGGATAAAAAATACTAAAAACTATTGCCTGAACAACATATCGATATGTTTTTGCGATAGTTGAGCTTTTGAAGCGCGCGCGCATATGTTATGTGAATTTCACATTTGAACGGAGAACAATTCATTTGCATATTTGCATTCCTTTTCAAGTATTATTATTTTTATTGAACCTACACAGCACTGCCAAGGCATCAGAAGGAGAAAGCTTTAGGTTACCGCTACAATTTGCATGTGCAGTCTATCATTGGAATTGCGGTTACTGCAAGCTGCAACAATCAACACGTTCCTTTAGCCGACCTTTGTTGTGGTTTGGTCAGCTGCCATATGTGTGTAAGCTGATGCCTTTCACGAGCACGTGACAGGCTATCAACCACAAAAGAAAAGCAGGCTTAAAGAACAGACATGGTCCAAGCTCGTTTTCCTTCTTTTTTCTCTTTCTTTTCTTTATCGATGTATGGAGATTTCAGATTCATGTGACTTTGGCGGCTGGCAGCTGGCGGTTGGCGGCTGTCAGCTGCGGCAAATGCCCCAGAGGTGTTAAGATTTATTGAAGCATTGTAATTAATTTAGAAATCACTTTCTGATTGAGTTCTTCTTCTATATGCCCTTTCCCTTTGCAGTGTTCACCTGGGGCAAGCGCATGAGCCGCAAACTGGATTTACTGAAGCGCAGCGAGTCCCCCGCCGCCGCCCACAAATCGCACACGGATCTGCGCAGCCTGTTTCACTCGCCAACGCACAAGTCTAGTAATGCGAAGACTTCAGTAACGCCTACTGGAGCTTATCAAAGCAGTACGCTTAAAAAGTGCAAGTCGGGACCAATTGAAACGATCAAGCAGCGTCATCAGCATCAACAGCAACAGCAACAGCCACAGCCACATCACCAGCAGCAACATTTCCAGGATTCTGGTAACCGGGGCCAGAGCCACAGCGCACAGTCAACGCCGACGCATCAGTATCAACATGGACCAGTGACACGCCCACAGAAGGCACTGAAGAATTTCTTTCATCGCATTGGCTCTACAGGGATGCTGAATCATCGTTCGCACAATCTGCTGAAAGCTTCCGAGGCATCGCAGCAGTCAACGCCAACTAGCCAAACGCTCTATCGTAGCAGCTCCACCAGCCAATTGTCCAGCTGCTCCTACATCAAATGCGATGATCCCACCGAAGGCTTAAATTTGCATAGCCAACAGCAGCAGCAGCAACGGCAACACTTACTGCAGCAACAGCAGCAGCAACAGCGCGCGCCACGCATTTCCAATCTCAAGTCAAGCAGTTGCGATGATATTGCCAAGGTGAGCAGCTGCCTTATCACCAGCAATAGCAGCAGTAGCAATGGCAGCGACAGTGTGGGCGTGGGTGTGGGCGGAGGTGGGCTAGCAAGCAATGCAGGCAGCAGCAGCAACAGCGGCAACGGCAGCAGCAGCAGTCAACAGGATGCCAGCCGTCGCAATGCATTTCCCTATGCATTTTTGCGCTCACGACTTTCGGTGCTACCCGAGGAGAATGGTGGCTCTGTGCTGCTGAAGCATCAGCAACAGCAACAACAACAGCAGCAGCAGCTGCAGCAACAATTTCAAAGGGATGCTGTTGTGGCTCAAGGCGGATCGCCGTTGCCGCAGCGTCACTCGCCAGATCAACAGATGGCGAATGTGTCGCGCAATGACAGCATCACATCCAAGGACTGGGAACCACTTTACCAAAGATTAAGTAGTTGTCTAAGTTCAAATGAATCGGGCTATGATAGCGACGGCGGCGGCGGCATCGCTGGTGCTCGTCTGTGCAATAATCTTAGCATCTCGGCCGGAGATACAGAATCTATTGCCTCGGGCACACTTAAGCGCAATTCGCTTATCTCGCTCAGCTCCTCGGAGGGCGTCGGCATGGGCATGGGCATGGGCTCAGGCTCCTCTGTACGCAACAGCATTTGCAGTGCGCCCGTATCCCTTGGCGGCTATAACTATGACTATGAAACTGAGACAATCAGACGACGTTTCCGTCAACTGAAGTTGGAGCGAAAATGCCAAGAGGATTACATTGGGCTAGTTCTATCGCCCAAAATGGTTGTCACCAACAACAATGAACAGCAATATCGATATTTGATTGTTGAGCTGGAACCATACGGCATGGCGCAAAAGTAAGTATCGATTAATCGTAATCAAAATAAAAGAATCAATAATGAACCAGAACCAGTGCTGCCTATTAAGCGGACAAACATATTATCCATACGCCCCGTATCAGAAAACTAAACTTCTTTAAATTTAGGTCATAGAAGTTAATACAAATTAAAATACAAAAATATAATAAATATGTGTAAATATGTAAATACGTTAGTCTGATACTCTTGACCAAAGCATTTGAAAACCAACTAATGAATCCCAACAAAAGAACCAAGCTCACTCTCAATTTCCATCTCTATCCTTCCATAGGGACGGACGCCTGCGCCTTGGCGATGAGATTGTTAATGTAAACGGCAAACATTTGCGTGGCATTCAATCATTTGGCGAAGTGCAACGTCTGCTAAGCTGCTTTGTGGAGAATTGCATCGATCTGGTCATAGCGCACGATGAGATAGCCACTGTAACTGATTTCTATACCAAAATACGCATAGATGGCATGAGCACGCAGCGTCAACGGCTCAGCTACGCACAGCGGACAGATAGCCTGAACAGCCTGCAGAGCCTGCAGCTCCATGTAGATCAGGAACAAGACCGAGAACGGGAACGGGAGCGGGAGCACGAGCAAGCCGAACTGGAAGAGGACCAGTGCGATGCACGGTCCCTGGCCAGCGTTAGTACGCTACCCACGCCCATGCCATTGATGCAACATCGTCGCAGCTCAACGCCCCGACACTCGCTGGACGTGAGTGCGTCGGAGCATGAGCTATTGAGGCGCAGAGCGCGCAGCTCTTCAGGTCAGCGTAGCTTGGCTCTAACACCAACACCGCTCTTTAACAATGACACCTCCTCCACATCAACAACCAATGTTAACACCAATAACAACGACTCGTACACACCTGTGTATGCGAATCGGGCAGCCAGCGTCTGTGTGGCCTCCTCGCTGGCGGATGATGAGAAATGGCGGCTGCTGGCACGCAAGCGTTGCTCAGAAGGTGCTGCACTGTCCACCGATCCAGGCGCGGGCTCCGGCGCTGGCCAGCAGTTTGGCCAGCGTACGCACTATGCTCGCAATTCCATTAATCTAACCAATTCACATTATCGCTCGCTGAGATTTGCGCATTCGCGTCTCAGCTCATCGCGTCTCAGCTTATTCATGCAGACGCCAGCAACAGCAGCATCAGCAGCAACAACCACTGACACTCCAACCACAACAACAACAACTGATCTCACTAATAATACGCAACAACAACAACAACAACAGCAACAACAACACCATTCATTATATATCAAGCACTCGCCAAAAAACGTTTCACTGTTTGCGCCTAATCCATATATACCATCCTCATCATCATCAACAGCAGCAACAGCAGCAGCTGTAACAAGCTCATTGGCTCCACCAGCTGCTTCGCTAATGCATCATCGTCCATCGCTGCCAGTGGCGAAGCTAACGATACGCGACGAGGAAATGGCAGAAGTCATTCGCGCCTCAATGTGTGAGGGTGAGCTTAACACAAATAACACAATAAACAATTATCAAAACTTAAGCTTACTAAACAATTTGTATAATTTATTTATTGTCTAGGCAACGGACGCTGCACACAGAAGACAATTACGTTTTTCAAAGGACCTGGCCTAAAGTCTTTGGGCTTCAGCATTGTAGGCGGACGAGATTCACCCAAAGGCAATATGGGAATTTTCGTTAAAACTGTCTTTCCCTCCGGCCAAGCTGCCGATGACGGCACGCTGCAGGCGGGTGAGTAGCTTAAGAAGCATTTCTATTAGTTCTTTGATGCTTAAACAATTTGCATTGCAGGCGATGAGATTGTGGAAATCAATGGACTCTCTGTGCAGGGCATGAGTCATGCTGAGACAATTGGACTATTCAAGAATGTGCGTGAGGGCACAATAGTGCTTAAGATCTTAAGAAGAAAGTAAGTAATGAGAAAGAGAGAGAAAAAGAAATTAAATATATATATTGACTTCTCTTCCTTTTCAGACTACAAAAGGCAAAGTCAATGGGCACCTAAAGGAAGAATATAAATATAAGTTCTTTTAAATACATAATCCCAAACTGCATATCGACTCTACATGTTAGCACTTTTTATGGAGAAATCATTTGTTAATACCTGAGCAACAGCACATCATTTGTTTAACTGATACATACATGTACATAGACCAATTTAATGTAATATTAGTTGCCCTGCCTTCATATATGTACCTTTACCTATATACATAGATAATATATGTATATCACTATATTTATATGCAAATATCTATACAAATCTATTTGTATGAGCACACACACATTCAAATCTAATTTAAATGCAAGCTATACTTGAAGTAATTTAATGGAATTAATCATTTTAAATTATTTACATAATCTAAGCTAAGCATCCAAAATGTTGTACAATTTTTCGAAAATAAAAATACCTACATTAAAATTAGTGTATTTGTCTTTATAGGGTTATAGGTCTATATGACAATATTTTCACTTTCAACTTCAACTCTTTAACTCAAACTCAACATTAATTTTGTGATCGAATATAATTAAAACTATAATAAAGTAGTACATTAAAGTTCCCAGTATTAATGTTTAAATACTTACAACGAAGATAATTCGTACCTAGCTCAAAAAGATTTAATGTCGTGGAGAAATAATCTTGATATTCCACCCATATTTGGTTAATCAAGATTATCCGAATTATCTAACAATATATCTACATTTAAATACTGGACAAGTCGATTACAAATTTTAATTTTGTAATATTTTTATTAACATCATTGACCTACTCAAGCCTGAGTATCACGTTTTAACCAATTTATTTATTTTCAGCAATCAGATTGACTTTCAACCGTTTCCGTTTCTGTGTCGCTCTTTACGAGCAGTCGTTGCTTTTTCACAAAATGGTCAATGCGATTTTCCAGGCTCTCTAAAAAAAAGATGTTGTTATTTGTGGATAAAAACATTTTTTTAGAAAGACATTTACTAACCGCATCGTTTACGCTGCAGCAATGGTTGATACTGACGCGGCTTAGCCGCATCCTGGAGCAGCATCGCCTGTGCATGGATCTTCTGTGTTTTGAAGTTCCGCTCAAGTAGAGCCTCCAGTTGCACTAACACATTGTGTATCATCGTGCATTTGACACTGAACTGCGTCCACTCACTCTGCACGTTCTCGATGAGCTTTTGTAGATTCTCTTCACTGTATATCCAATTGGTTAGATCACTTTGTCTTTCACTTTCCACAATCGCACTCTGCGACAAATTTGGAATTTCGACAGCCGAAGTTGACGGATTGGATTGACGTGTACTGTGCAGCCGGAATTCGCAATGGAACAGATTCAGTGGTAAGCCGATGGCAGGCGTATACTGAGGCTTACAAGGATTGTTGCCAACATCTAGTAATTTAGTAATAACGGAGGGTTGCTCATGCTTTTGTCCAACCAGCAGCAGCACAGCCATGATGCAGCGTATTTGATGCCATAGAAAAGCATTAGCTTGTATCTCCAGATAATACATGACGTAGCCTGTTGAGGAAAGTCATCCAAATTTTAAAATATAGTCATGTATGCTTGTATATGCCACCCCCATTCTTACCTGAGTCTGGCTCTAACTGCACATCTGTATTATGGCATGGCTTTATCTCGGCATGCTGCAAATTACGCATATAATTCGTAACGCCATTATGCACATCCATTTTACAAAAATTCCTAAAGTCGCCATGGCACACAAGCAACTGACAAGCCATCTGCATAGCCTCAATATCTAAGTCGCCCTTGGGAAAATAATAGCGATAGGTGCGTGAAATGCAATCAAATCGAGCGCTATATTCGGGATTTCGCAACGGCATCCAGGATACGCACTGAATATTTTTGGGCAGCACCCGATTTAACAGACTGCAATAATCAATTTCAGTACTTAACGATTCAGGCTCCAGTTGAACCTCAGGTGAATGCTTGCTACGCAAATTTATTGAAATCACTTGGCAGAAGGCGCTCACCTCCTTGTCGGTGCGACCACACCGATGATAGTTGGAGGTAGCACGCGATTCGATGAGACAGGTGCGCTCCAAGGCACGAAACAAATGTCCCTCTGCAAGAAATATATAAGCAATTCGTAGGTATTCGCATAGAAATAGCAAAACTTACCAATCGTATCAGCGGAATCCTCCTGACAAGCAAAGCCCTGATAATCCCAGCCAAAATAGGTTACTTTCATTAACACATGCCGTTGGTGTGCACTGAAATCGATTCGATAAGAATAAATTTTAATAATGAAGCTTTAAATGTAAAGGACTTACTCACCTCGACCAATTAAACTTACGTTGCTTGTCTTTACTTTTAGGTACACCCTTAGCGGTTTCCAAATCAACTGTGTTTTGTACTTCATGCCCATCAGCCCCTCGCAGTATAGCTGCATATTCAGAATTGCTTTTGTCACTCTCGGAGAGTTTCTTCTGTAAAAGATTTTTCAGCTGAAAATTGTACGCTTCTAGCTGTACAATTTTATCAATTAGCTCTGGTTTGCTTAGCTGATCTAGCTCTTCACGAGTCTGGCCCTTCACACGTTTATTTATAACTATTTTCTTGTTCATCGCACATATAAACAAATGCAACATGTGCCACTCACTTTTTAACACTGTTCATATCGAAATTGATATCGAGCATATTCGATACTTTAAAAAGAATTGCGAGTGATCGAGTACAAAATTCTTATATACATATATCGATACTTGTTCGATATTACCAGCGCAGTACAATATCGAATACGTTTAGCCCTCACTACAGCTATTGCAAATATTTTTATAGTTTTTAAAAGTAAATCTGAAATAAACATAATTCAATATGCTCGACGGATGGTACTGCCGGTCTTTGGCAAATCAAAAAACCACATCTAATAAAGCAGAGCAAGAACATCTTGAAAGTGATGAAGAAACACATACGAAACAATCAACAGCGATGGCTGGGGCAGCTGCAGCAGCAGCAGCAACTGGAGCATCCAGTTCAACATCAACTGGCACAGCAAATGAAAATATAGATTATAAAGAGCGCTACAGAAATTTAAAGCGGAAACTGAAATTTCTCATCTATGTAAGTATGATACGTACGGTCGTAGATACAATCATTTAATTTTTGTATTTGCAGGAAAACGAATATTTTCAAGATTTGTTACATACAAATCAAAGACGTTTATTGAAAGTATCGCGTGACCGATCGTTTTTGATTGATCGCTTGTTAATATATGAGAAGCCTGCCAAAGATTCCAGTGACAGTGATGTCACTGATAGCTCCAATTCTGATGCGGAACCAATGGTTTCAACGTTAGCTCAATCGCAAGCGAATTTAGATTCTTCGAAGGAGACCGTGGCTATGCGGCGAAAGCATAAGGAAAAACCAGCTATAAATATGCTTGTTCCCACAGCTCAGCCAACAGTCGTTGGAGGGGCAACTCGAGGACGCAGACGCAAAATTCTCACCAGTGGCCACGTTCAACAGCAGCCAGCCAAAAAACTACTTACGGCCACAGCAACTGTGTCACCGTCAGTGCAACAACATCAGCAGATGGCTACAAAGGATGGCTCTGGCAATCTGAGCACAGCCGAAATAACGCGGCAGTTGCAAGAACGTAGGCCAACTCCCATTGAATTTATGAGTCCGGAGTGTGCCTCAGCCACTGTGCCGGTTACAATGCTAAGCGACGAAAGTCCCTCAAAAATGTAAGCAAAGTTAATGATAAAACGAAATCGATTAGAAATCTTGTTTTTGTTGCAGCTATCCCAACGAAAGCTTACAACATCTCATGGAGGACGACTCGCCGTCTCACGTAGCTGCCGAGGAATGTGTGCCCATGGTTTACACGAATTGATGTACTATAGAAACAAAAAAAGACAATTTGCATATGGAAGAATTCAAATTTTACTCTTTTGACTTGCTAATAAATGTAATTAAAGCTATGTTTTCTCCGCGAATCATCAATTGCGGCAGTTTACGACGCAGCTGCACGTTCTTACGATTTAAGCTTTTCACGTCAACCTCAGGCAATGTGATTCCCATCCGTTGAAGTCGATTGCTGCATTCTCCTGTTTCACCTGTGCCACAAATATTTTGCTTGCCAAATTTATATTTGCGACGCTGCCAGACTTCAACTGCGTTTTTAAGCAAGATGTTCCATTGTTTGTCAAAGGCCACAAGGTCACCCTCAATACGGCCACCGATGGCATGCTCCTTGCGCATATAAACTCGTAGGCGCGCTACATCTCGGTTCTCCTTGCCGGGTAAACATTTTTGAAGATATGCCAAGGGGCCTTCTGCACTGGCCATATGGGTGAAAAGATTCCGGTGGTATTTTGTTTTCTGCACTCCTTCCACGGGCATTTGATGCGGCTGAAAACGTCGTTCACTCGATGTCGCAGCATTCGAGGTTGAGCTGAAAGGATTTTTGGTATTTGCTGTATTCGGTTGTTCATTGTTTTTGGGTCGTTTATTCAATTGCCAAACGCCGACTTTTACAAGAGCACTCTCAAATGCGGCAAGATTTTGATACAGGACTTTCGGCGCCCTCTCTGTGACCTTAAAGTCGGCAGTGTATAGCGCACGCAGCGAATTGAAATGCTCACTGCCCACATCCAACTCCGCATTGCAGTCATCCACTTCTTTATTTGTTTCGGACATGTGTATCTTTAGGTAAACAAAAATAACAATAATGGTATTCCCTCCAGTATATTCAAAAACAAATTTGAATACAATTATTCGATTATAATTTGTATTTGCATTGCATCGATTATCATAGTTTTATATCATTTATATCATGATAAATCATTAATAATCATGATAATTTAATAATTATTTACTTTTTATATATTACTGGTCCAGGGTATATCCAAGTTGATCTATCTCATTTACTAAACATATTATACCTGTAGCACCAAAAACCTCTAGCGGTACATTGCATTGCAGTCTAAATTTAAAATTCTTCATGCTCGTACCCATTGAAAATGGGAACTCAGTGTATAATGATTTAGCGAGCATGTATGTAACAGGGTAAATTTAGGCGTCGGAAACCACATAAAATGTATAGTTTACTTATTTTACTTTGGCAAAAATCCCAATTAGACGATATTCTGGTGCTCTAAAGGTTTTAATAAGAAATTTTGTGTGTGTTTATTATACTAGAATATCAACTATTATTCTGTTATACTATTCAGGGTATCTCCTCTTCGGGCACAGCCGGTTAGATGACTCTTGTTCTCACTTCCAATGCTGCACATATATACAACATTACAAAGCTCTATTATCATATTTGTTTTCCAGGTCTAATTAGAGCTTTTGGAAACGTTCTCTATTAAGCGAAAATCAACAAGTGTGACAGTGCGTCTTCAAATTGATAACCGGACGGACACAAGATGAATCGAAATATATCATGTAAGTTTAAGTGTTCCAAACTATGATGAAGCCCAAAAAACATACATGCACGCATATAATATACCAACAGTGAGCGGCTATGGACTTTCCAATAAAATGTTGATCGGCATGGGCGTCAGCCTGGTAGCTGTAGGAGGTGCCGGCTACCTGGTTTATCGCCATTTGCATCGCGATTTGATGCCAATGAAATGGCGACGAGTTGGCACATTGCAGCAAGTGAATGTATTTCCAGTCAAATCTTGTGCTCCACTAGAGCTTCACAGCCAGCAGGAATACGATTGTGATGTGCTTGGCATTGGAATTGGAAATGTGCGAGATCGTAAATTTATGTTAGTCAATGATAATAATGAAATGATAACTGCCAGAGCTTATCCGCATATGGTACTAATTCAGCCAAAGGCGGTAGCAAATGGATTGGTGTTTAGTGCACCTGGTATGCCCGACTTGGAACTGGATTTCAAGCAGTTGGAATCGCTCTCTAAGGACGTACACACATCCATTTGGGGCGTGGCAATAGATGTGATGCTGTGCGGCAGCCGCTTTGACAAATGGTTCTCAGAGTTTATCCTTAAAAAAGATTCGGGCGTAAGGCTTGTTTACTATCCGTATCCAGGACCAGTTCGTAAAACTAGTCCAGAACTTAAACACATGCCTTACATAATACAGCAAGATTCTGTAAGTATAGTATTTTCTACTTGAGCTGTAAGATCTTTGGAGCCGTATCTATGATAAGTTGCTTTTTATTCACCTTAGCAAAAGCGAGAAAGTCGGCATTATCTTTCAAGTAGGTCACTATGGGCTATCATATTGATTCTCTGCAAATTAAGAATAATCAATTTGAACAGTGTTGCAATTCAAGATCTAATACTATTCTCTGCTATGGAAGCTGTTATAAAACATTAGCACTTTATCATATTCAAGGGTTTATTGCATGAAACCAATACATTTTGCTTGTTACGGGAACGAGGATGAAACACTAAGACCCATGACTTATGAAATAAATTAAGAATTACCAATTACAATCACATTTTAGGGCACACTCAATGATGGCACTAGCTATATGCTTCTCAATTTAAACTCTGTTAATGATTTAAATACTCGACTGAAGACTCCTGTGGATCCATTGCAATTCCGTGGAAACTTTGAATTGAAAATGGATGTTGATCAGCCGTACAGTGAAGACCACTGGCAGTGGATACGCATTGGCAACGATGCTATTTTTCGTATAGTTGCGCCTTGCACCAGATGCATTTTGCCAAATATAAACGTTAAAACGGCTGAGCGTAATGTCGACGGTGAACCGCTCAAAACACTGCGCAGGTAGGTCTAGGTCACACAGAGGAGGATACATATAATAATAGAATGATATTGAACACACTATTCACAGCTATCGACTGTTTAACTATCCGTCTCCAGCGATGGGTGTACACATGGGTCTACGGCAAACAGGAATCGTCAAGGCTAACGATGTTATTTACGTAGAAGACAAGTGAAACTGGAAACGTCTTATGTGGAAGTACATATAACATATAATAAAGGATTTTATTTTCGCAATTTCTGATTAAGCGCACCAATTCTTGCCACAAATCCGTTACTTCTGTAAAATTTCCCACATAATTTCCTAAATGATAATAATGGCTTTCCGTATCTCGAAGAAATTTGAATACAACTATTCGATTATGTTTTGAATTTATATCGTTAAAAATGATTCGACAATGGGGTATCTTAAGCACATAGTATATAAACATTTCGAACATTAATTAATTGATTGTTTAAATTATTTATATTATAATACACAATACAAATATTTATTTGCAATATTTTTGAAATTTTTTTAGCTAAAGTGTTTAAACCATCTTAAGTTACGATGTATTTTGCGTCCAGGGTATATTCTAGTCGATCTGTTCCATTTACTTAACTTGTTATACCTGTTGCACTGCAAAGCCGGAATTGAATAGGTTTATTTTTCTTACTACGTAACGTATATCTGTATGCATGTATATACCACATATACAGAAATCTACAAAGCTCCATTATCATTTTTCACTTTTTTGTTCTAGCTTTTAATAGAGCTTTTTGGCTTTTTTGTTGAGCAAAAGCAACAAGTGTGACTGCGTCTTTAAATTGATAGCAGTACAGACAAAAGATGAATCCAAATATATCATGTGAGTTAAAATGTTAAGAAATATATATTTATCTCAAATATTTATATATATAATATGTACCCAGTGAACGGCTATGGACTTTCCAATAAGATGTTGATCGGCATGGGTGTCAGCCTGGTGGCTGTAGGAGGGGCCGGCTATCTGGTTTATCGCCATTTGCATCGCGATTTGATGCCAGTGAAATGGCGACGAGTCGGCACATTGCAGAGAGTGAATGTATTTCCAGTCAAATCTTGTGCTCCCCTAGAGCATGACAGCCAGCAGGAATACGATTGTGATGTGCTTGGCATTGGAATTGGAAATGTGCGAGATCGTAAATTTATGCTAGTCAATGATAATAATGAAATGATAACTGCCAGAGCTTATCCGCATATGGTACTAATTCAGCCAAAGGCGGTAGCAAATGGATTGGTGTTTAGTGCACCTGGTATGCCCGACTTGGAACTGGATTTCAAGCACTTGGAATCGCCCTCTAAGGATGTACACACCTCCGTATGGGGCGTGGCAATAGATGTGATGCTGTGTGGCAGCCGCTTTGACAAATGGTTTTCGGAATTTATACTTAAAAAGGATTCGGGCGTAAAGCTTGTTTATTATCCATACCCAGGACCAGTACGTGCCACTAATCCACGACTTAAGCATATGCCATACATAAAACAGGATGATTCTGTAAGTAATAAGCATTTTATTCTCAAGTCGTAACCTTCAAAGCAAGATGAACTTTATCCTTTAAGTTGGTCACCAATGCTATATCTAAAACTCAGGAAAACATATGGGCTTTATAATTATTAATTCCCCGCAGATCGTTAAAAAATTAAGAACTGTCAATTACATGTATATTGTAGGGTACACTCAACGATGCTACCAGCTATATGCTTATGAATTTAGCTTCAATCGATGATTTAAATACTCGTTTGAAGACCCCTGTTGATGCATTGCAATTCCGTGGAAACTTTGAATTGAAAATGGATGTTGATCAGCCGTACAGTGAAGACCACTGGCAGTGGATACGCATTGGCAACGATGCTATTTTTCGTATAGTTGCGCCTTGCACCAGATGCATTTTGCCAAATATAAACGTTAAAACGGCTGAGCGCAATGTCGACGGTGAGCCGCTAAAAACACTACGCAGGTAGGTCTAGATGGCACACAAAATTATCGATGGTATATAAATATTGATGCTTTTCACTTACTATTCACAGCTATCGACTGTTCGACTATCCGTCTCCAGCGTTGGGTATACATTTAGGTCTACGGCAAGCAGGAAACGTTAAGGTTAACGATGTTATTTATGTCGAAGACAAATGAAACCGGACCCATCTTATGTGGATATACATTTTATATACATTCATTTTTATTCCATATAACAGAGATTATTGATAGTACGAAAGTTTGTATATGATAATAATAATAATAAACATCGCTAGGAGCTACAACAATTAGCGTTTGCATTGCCAAATTATTATTGAAGGCACGACTGCCAAGCCAGGCCACCGCATGCCATGCTTACAATTACATAGATTACAAATATGATTACTAGGCCGACGACAACATAGATTCGAATGTTCTTCCAGAACATTTGACGCGCCAGATTGCGCGATGCCTTGCGGAATGCAACCGACTACGGGATAAAGACATAATTGCAATGAATTTCTACTCGACTCAACTTTTAATTCCAACTTACATTATTGCTTAAATTCTCTGTTTTGTTAACCAACAACTCCAGTTTCTCGCCGCGATCGCGCAGACTATCTGTGAATGGAAATTATAAATTGAATCAACTCAGAAACGCAACATGGCTTAATGTGTTACCAATGTTTTTAATCATAATATCTTTTAGCTCATCAATTTGACCATGAACCCGAGATATGGTATCCACTTCTCGCGATTGACTAAAGTAGACCATTTGTTGGGATAAAGTTTTAGAGAACTCCGTATTCATGGCATAGGCAATTGCAGTAGCAACTTGTAGGCCATAAGTCTGTATGAATTTTTGCTTGATGTCCGCCAAGAAGAGAAAAGCGCGTGAGCGTTCGAATTCCTGTATATGAAAATCTAACAGATTAAATCATATCATACAATTTGCATTATTAACATTCAGCTTACGTTATCGGTTATGCACATATAAATGATCTTATTTTCGCAAGTATAATGTATCAAATAATCGCCGTGCGTGTAGGTCATTTTATGATTATGCACGCCAATTCTTCCCATAATTTGTTCCGTTACTTCTGCAAAATTTCCTACACATTCAGCAAACTTTGCCAGCACCGTCGTGCCACGGGCTATAACACTATATAATATCGGCATAATGTGGGTACTGCTGCGCGCAAGCCCTAGTTATTGTATGCGACCGCAAAAGGCGTGGTGACTAACACGTCTCAAGACTTCTCGCTTATTGTATTTTATCAGCACAGCAACAAACAATTATGCTTCGCTGTCGCTGTTGTTGCCTCTTTCCTGCTAAATCAAACAATTGATAATAATGAATAGTAAACAGTTTTCTCCGTTCCTTAAATATTTTTATATTATTTTTTTTCTTTCTTTTTTGCTTAAAACTTACACAGATCCAACGTAAACATGTAAGTAAAATTAAGTGTGTTGTTTATCCAATACTTAAATAATAATATGCGTCATTTCTGTGTGAGTATTACAGATAGATCATGTTTAGCCAAATTATTTGAAGGATAGCGAATAGAATTTATACTGAATTTTATTGGCTTATTCAACCAACTACAAGACAAAAACGGTCTTTGTATTTTTATAAATGCACTTGCACTTAATTTATGGATGTGAGTTTGATAAAAATATACCGATAGGCAGGTTAGTTTGCAACTATCGATTAGAGCGATGTCAGTATCCAATAGTCGATAATATTACTTTTTTAATAATAATACGTAGTAAATTTGAAAGTATAAAGTTTATATACGTGTTTTTCACAAATTTCTGTCACGTGCTGAGCTTTCCGTTCTTCAATTATGAATTAATTTATTCAAATAAAAGCTCTATATCTATAAGGGAATACCTGTAATATATATCAAGCATACGGCAGCGCTGATAGTGATTCACGAATATGGCAGTTCCACCTGAGGATCAAAGGAGTGATAAGAAGATTGTGTGGCCGAAGATGGTGTGGGCAAATGTTGGTGAGGATGTATTAAAATAAACGAACTAACACTTGCATTGATATATATTATATACATATATTACAACGCAGACTACATCATTCGAATATGCATTGTGATATATGTTGCGGATTTCCTGCAGCGAGTTTTCTATGTATCAAAGGAATATCTGTTACACAGCAAGTATTATTCACCTGAGGATCGTCTTGCAACAATTATAAAGCGCGCGTATACCTACAATAACAAAACAGTATATCTAGCGTTACTTGTGGTATTTACGGGCCTGACGCGTTTTGGAAGCACCCACAATTTAGCTCGTTTGCTGCCCAGAGGCGAAACGCTTTTTCTTATTCCACTGTATTGGATTTTAACCTACGTTCAGTTGAGCCATAGTTCATTGAGCTATGCCCACTGGATACGCGATTCTCATGGCCTAGACTATGCAGCTGGCATGGCATCGAACTACTTCCATGGCTATCTGAAACTCTCGTTGCCAGAACGTGATAATGATGGCTTACAGAAGCGAATGCAGCAATATGAAGATACACATCAAGTAAAATTCGGGATGAATTGTTTACTCATACTAATTCCAGATGAGATGTTTGTTAATCGCGTTATACGCAGCAAGTGGTTAGAGGAAGCTGAAGTAAGTGGGTTATTTATTTGAAGCTTTTATTGGTTTTTAATTTGAAAAATCTGGTCCGTAGCCCCTGCAAACACAATATATCAATAGGGCAGGCGTAAAACGGCCATTCAAGCATGCGGTCTATAGACTGAATAAGAAAATTAACGGCACCACATACTACTTTGCGATGGAGGGTGCAACACCTATGCTAACGTTTTTCGATTCAATGAACTTCCAATTGTCGGCCACTTGGCAAATGCAGGAAATGAAACGCGAAATCTGGTTGAAATTTTGTAAACATCTCCAAGATCTTCTGAACAACTGGCCGGAGACACGACGAGAAGTTCAACTGATAATATATAATTGTGTGTGTGCATGTTTTACAAATAAATGATGTAAGTAATGAAAATTTAATTACTTCCAGCTCACAAGCCAAACGGAGAGCTGCATGATGTTGGCGAGGAGCTAATCGCTCGCGTTTTGGCGCACATTGAAAAGGAGAAAACAAATTGACTTGAAGAATAACTTAATTTTTTTAAGGCTGAATGAAATACGAATACGCAGGTTTAAGCCAAGCAAAGTTTTATATTATTAATAAATAAAAAATAACTATAATTAGACATTGCTTTCCTGTTCTTTGAGTTTAGCTTCAGCTAATTTGAGCATTCGACTTTTCCATTTTTCATATTCTTCGATTTCAACTTTTTCACTACTCTTCTTCTTCGTGGTCAATATATTCTGCTCCTCTTGCAGTACCAGTTTGTTATTTAAGCCCGCTGCTATATTGGTATCATTTAAATGCTTCGCAATCATGCGATCCCATTGTTGATCGAGCTGCTGCCATTGTGTGGGTCGCAAATTGCTAAATGGCATTAATTTTGGTTTGGATACTTTCTTTTTCATCAAGCGGCAGGCGTGGAACACGGCCATTGCGGCATATTGTGGATGTTCGGGATCCACATCTTCACGCGCAACCTTTTTGAACAATGCGAGGATATCTTCAGCCTTATGTGCGACCTCGTTCAAGCTGAGCTGCACACAAATATCTTTGATGCTAGCCAATCTATTCAATTCAAGCAATTTCTCAAACATTCTCTTGTTATTGGCATAATGAGTTTTACGCAATGCGGATAGTTTAAGTGCCTGCTCTTTGTCAAAGCCAATGTCTAAAAGACTGCATGCAATATCCGTGCACAAAACTATTTTTCCATATTCATTTATTTGCAGCGGAACGTTTGTCGAACGCAGCTCTAGCAATCTTAGCAGCTCCGTTGTTTTCCTAGTAATAGTTAAAGTTTGTTAACTATATTTATATGAACTTTAATATCACTAAAACTTACTCTAATACATTGGGCTCGTCACTAAGGCCCATTTTCGAAATAAGCTGTTCGACCAAAGTCGTCATTTTACCACAGAATTTGTTTACTTCTATTCAATTGTTTTCCTTTTTTGGCGCGAATAAAGAAACAGATGAGCGCGGCATTAGTGCTGCCAGACTTAGAGGCCAAACGGATTACTCATAACTTGATAATAATTAAATAAATATACAAATAGAAAATGTAGTGCTTTGTAAATATATAATAATGTATTTCTATATTTTTTTTCATACCAATTTTAATTTATAATATATGTTAAATAATTTAGCTGTTAACGGAAGCTATCGATAGTTAAGTGCACACATAGTTCAGCCCTGGTGTTGCCGTTACCGGTAGCAGTCGAATTTAATCTTTACCATTTGCTCCAGCATTAAATGTACCGTAGCAACAGGAATTTCAATAAAAATGTAACTGGCATAGTTAAATTTTTTTTTTGTTTTATGCGAAGTGATTAAAAAGCAGCATTTAAAAAAGCCCCCCCTAATGTCTGCTAAACTCTGTCAGCTATCCAGAGATAAACTTTCGTATTATCATTTATTGTTTTTGTATTTTTATTTGTTTTGAATTTTAAGAATAGGCACAAATTAAAAATTGGCCATAAACCGTTCCATTTATTTTATTTTTTTGTTACTTGTCAGTAAACGACATTTGAAGGATAGTGCTTAGCCGATTTAGAATCAGATAAACATATTTCGAATTTAAATTATGTCTCATTTTCACTATCATCCGCGGCTTTGGCTGCTTCGCCAGCTTCAATTGCCTTTTGAGTCCACAAATCGTTATTTATTAGATGTATACCTTTCGTTTCCCTGCCAACTATGCCCATTTCAAAACGAAATTCTTTGTCCTTCAGTTCGTCGTGAACCTCATAAATGCTGAAAGTTAATAAAAAAAAATAAAATAAATGAAAGGTAAAGCGATAATCTTAACATACATTTTGCCACCAGTTTTGACCAATTCCTCGGTGCTCATTTCGGCGAACTTGTACTTTTCCATCTCGGTTTTTGCCGGTTGCTTCGCCTTCCCACTGGCGCAGGCATAATAGCCAAAAGACGTACCAGACGGCTCAATTTTATACAATTGAGGTCCATCGGTCTCATCCCACGATGCGAGTATTACAGATAATCCAAACGGACGAACAGCGCTGTACAGAGTGTAGGCGTGTAGGTAGCCGGATACGCGATCGCATAAATGTTTAAGAGGAATGGTGCGCTCAAATTGTTGACGGAAATTTGCTGCTTCCTGACGGGCAATGTCGGCCACAAAATTTCCATCAGCCATTAATCCAGCAATGGCCATGCCGATATTCTTTTCAATAGTAAAAATGCGACTGGCTGCATCAGGTTCATAAAGCTGATCTGCTATAATTTTTTCTACCGCGAGAACGACACAATCCTTGCCTCTAATACCAATAACGGTTCCGCTCCTCTCAACTGCTTTGGAGGCGTAGTCAATCTGAAAGACGCGACCATCAGGAGAGAATTGCGAAGCCGACAGATCATACTGCAAACAAATATTGATTAATTTACACTCTTGTAAATTGAGTATTACTATACTTACACCGGTACCAATTGTACTCATTTTTGCTGTGAATGAATTTTAATTGGTATTAACAAAACCGAATATATGTGAAATAAACTCGCAAATAGAAGACGATGATTTGACGGCTTTTTATTTGACAGCTGCAATTCATGCTCTGTGTGACCAGTCTTTCCAAATGTTGATATGTGTTGAGTAATGCTTTATTAAAACGGATGAACTTTAATAATAAATTTTAACTAAAGCATATAAACCAAAAGCTTCAAGATGCAATGCAGCAAGAACACTCGAAAATCTATAAAATATTTGTAAAAGTACGAAAATTATTATTATTTAATAAATCGTATACTTAATTTCATCGAAATATGTACAGAGACAGCTTTAGCTTTAAATCCTTTGTCGATTTTTTTTTTTTTTCAGAAATAATATACTCAAATTTTGAATATTTATGTAAAGTTATTTTTAATTTTATTCTGTTAAAAAACATTTATTTATTTAAATGTCTACTATTTATTGCATATGTATGACTATGGGATTCGTGAACTAGTTCTCTTGGAATATTCGTACCAGATCCAATGTGCACGCGGTAGAAATTTCAATTTTGTAAACAAAAATAAAAGCATGCTGGCAAGCGTGAGTGAAAAACAGTAAGTAAAAAACAGCATTCAATGGCTTTTAATTTAAAAACATATTTTTAGATATGCAGCAGAAGCTCGCTACACAAACTTTTATTCAGGCCACGATATTGCGTGGAGTGAAGATGGACAGCACATTTACTGTTTGAATGGCGAAGTTGTAAATCAAGTGAATGTAGAAACATCGCAAATTGTGTGCAGCTTTGGAGTAAATGTATCGAACGGTAGTGAATCTAACGGAAATGTAGATAAATCCAAAGCTTCTGACGGACTCGACGATGCCAAGGTGGACGAGGACAACATTTATTGCTTTGCAATGTCACGTGAACATTTGGTGATCGCACATGGCAGTGGCTTGCTACGCCTTTGGGAGCTAAGTACGCAAAAGTTAGTTAAACTCTGGAAGAGCCAGCACAAGGGACCCGTTGTTCGCATCGAGTTTAGCCCGTGTGGCAAGTATATCTGTACCAGTGGTGGTGCAGACGCCACGCTGCGACTTTGGGATTTTGCTAACAACAGCTGTCTGTGCGCTTTGAAAGATTTTCCTGGCCCAGCACTGGTTGTACGCTTCCATCCGAGTCCATTGAAAAGTGAAATTTATGCTGCCGGCGCTGACAATACGATATACTGTTGGAATTATGGCACAAAAACATTGCTACATAAAATGCGTGGACACATCTCTCAAGTGACTGGCCTTAGTTTCAAGAGCACAGCTCCTGATTGCGATCAATTGGTCACAGTGAGTCGCGACAAAGTTCTAATTGCTTGGCAATTAGGTGTAGATTCGAGCAACACCTGGAGCCAGTCAAAGATTATCCCCTTATATGTTGAGCTCGAGGGAGTCACTCATATTGCAGATGGCGAGCAAGTGTTGGTTGCCTGTCGCTCGGGCAAACTCCAGCAAATTGATACAAAATCATGGAAAATACGCGATCTGTTAGTGAAAACCGACTTTGAAATATGTCGTCTACTCTACTCCAGCATCAGAAAACAACTGACCCTAGTAACTACAGAACAAAATATTATCATATACAATGTGAACACCGAGAGTGAGAGTGCAGCGCTGAAGCTTGTTAAGCAGCTGGTTGGATACAATGACGAGATTTTGGATATGTGCTTTCTGGGCGACAACGATCGGTACTTGGCTGTAGCAACCAACAGCAAACATTTCAAACTGTACGACACCGCGCAGAACATGAATTGTCGCCTAATATCCGGACATTCGGATACGGTCATGGCACTGGCTGCATCCCACAATTTGTTGATTTCCGTGGGAAAAGATTGCAGTATACACCTGTGGAAGCTGTCGCACGAAATTGATTGCTTTTTACAACCTCTAACACAGCAAAGCAATTGCCACACAGCTACCATTGGCTCTGTGTCGATAACGCATAATGGTGCCAAGGGCTTCGCCTCCGCCTGCCAAGATGGCAGCATGAAAGTATGGCAACTGTCGCGAGACAAACAAGAGCGCAACAATTATACGTTCTCGCTGCGTTATGCAGCGCTGGCTCACGACAAAGAAGTCAACTGCGTTACCTATGCGCTGAACAACAAAATACTGGCCACCGCATCACAGGACAAGACGGCGAAGCTTTGGACGGCGGACTCAAATGTACTTCTGGGCGTGCTGCGGGGGCACACGCGCGGTGTTTGGTGCGTGCGTTTCTCACCTGTTGATCAGATTGTGGTCACCTCTTCGTCCGACTGCAGCCTGCGAATTTGGTCTATTGCCAATTTCAGTTGCCTCAAGCGCTTGGAACAGGAGTGTACGGTATTGCGTGTCGAGTTTCTTGATCATGGCAAATTTATACTTTCTGCTGCCTCGGATGGTCTGCTCAAACTGTGGAACATCAAAACCAATATCTGTGTCCAGTCCATCGATGAGCACAGCGATCGTGTGTGGTCTGTGGCGGTGTCTGCCTGCAGTAATCGCTTCTTCTATACAGGTGGTGCGGACTCCAAGCTGATCCGCTATGCTGACGTTACCGAAACAGTGCGAAATGAAGCCTTGGACCAGCGACAAGCCATGTTGCAGCAAGAGCAAACACTTCACTCACTGCTACACGCCCAAGAGCAGCTTGAAAAGGCCTTCAAGCTAGCCCTAGTGCTAGACAAGCCAAAAGCCACATATGACATCATCTGCAGTTTTGTGCGCAAACGTGACAACGCCGGAGTGCGTCAATTGGTGGATCAACTCAATTTGGACCAAAGACTGGTGTTGCTGCAGCACGTGAAGGCGTGGGGCACCAATTCACGTCATTCATACATTGCCAACCTAATTCTGCAACATTTGCTGGGCGATGCTTTGGTCCACACTACACAGAAGTTCTACAACAAGGGAAATCTGGTTGAAGTGCTGACTCCCTATGTCCAACGACATTTCAAGCGAGTTTCCGAGCTGAACAAGGATCTGGCTTTTATGGAATTTATCGTCAAGTGCATGTAAAATTCAATACAATTTCCTGTTTATGCAACAAATATTTGGAGGCACTTTAAATAACGTTTCTTTTCTAATCCAGATCTATATCCAATACTGTTTAATATTGTATATTGTTTATAATACCTATAACTAACCGTTTGTGCTGCTTAATGAACGCAAGTCACGGCAATACATTTTTTTAACATCTGAATTTCAATAATCTGAATTTGATTATTCAAGTACCAGGATTAGATCATCGCCATTCAATTTCATTCCCTTTTTGACTTCTATTTTTTTCACAGTACCAGAATCTGGTGATCGAACGACCGTTTCCATTTTCATTGCCGATAGCACGATCAGAGGCTGACCCTTCTCGACCTTGTCGCCCTCTTTGACACGTATGTCAATAACATTGCCTGGCATTGGGGCACCCACTTCACCTTTTACATCATTCCTGGCTTTTGGATGCACTCGCATTACCTTAAAATATTATTAGTTAAAATAAATGAATTGGTACAGATGGAAGGCCATGAGTCTTTACCTTCATAGCGTCCACGTCAGCAATGTGGACTGAACGCATTTCACCGTTCATTTCAAAGAACGCCTCGCGAGTGCCATTTGGTCTGAGATCGTTGGCTATGGCCAACGTCTTAATGAATAATACCTTGCCACGTTCTAGCACTACTTCGAACTCTTCGCCCATTTCGGGGCCCACGAGGAACATACGCGTGTCGAGCTTGTCGATACAACCATATTTTTGACGGTTTTTCAAAAATTGCTTAGTCACTTCCGGATAAAGAGCAGTTGACATAACATCTCTTTCCGAAACTTGTCCAAATATTTTAAATAGTTCCTTCCTTAACTTGTCAAAATCCAATGGCTCAATCTTACTACCTGGTCTTTCATCAATGCGAGGCATATCTTTGAGAACATCAGATCGAAATGGTTCTGGAAAGCCACCATATGGAATACCAATATAGCCCTGTAGGTACTCAATAAGCGATTTGGGAAACGATAACTCCTTAGCCTTTTCCACAATGTCAGTGCGACTAAGTTTATTCTGAACCATAAACCGAGCCAAATCACCAACAACCTTGGATGATGGAGTGACCTTAATTATGTCGCCCAGCACGAAATTGGCTTCCCGGTAAGCCTTCTTGACATCCTCAAACATATCACCTAGACCTAGGGAGAACGCTTGGAATTGCAGATTGGTATATTGGCCACCGGGTATTTCGTTCAGGTAGACATCAGCATTTCCTGATCTCATCGTGGTGGTGCATTCGAATGGTCCGTAGAGAGTACGGGTTTGCTCCCAGTACGCCGAATACTCGGAAACATCTCCTAGGTCCAGCTGTGTGTCCAAGGGAGTACCCTGAAGAGATGCAACTACCGCTCCCATACTTGGCTGGGAGGTCATTCCAGACATCGAGTCGACAGCCACGTCTACAACATCAGCTCCGGCCTGAGCACACGAGAGCATAGACGCAACACCAGCACCCGAAGTGTCGTGAGTGTGGACATGAATTGGCACGTCGGGATGCTTGTCGCGGATGGCAGTAATCAGCAACCTACACAATGTACACATTCATGAAATATGTGCCGGGTAACTCAGTCATACTGGCATGCATACCTAGCCGACTCTGGCTTTAACAGACCCGCCATGTCCTTGATGCAGAGGACATGAGTTCCCGCCTTGACAAGTTCATCGGCCAAGTTTGTGTAGTACTTCAGGTCGTACTTTGTTCTCTTGGGATCACTTACATCTCCTGTGTAGGAGATGGCCGCCTCCACAACACCACCTGCCTTACCTGCCGCCTCCATGCCGAGGATCAAGTTCGGCAAATAGTTAAGGGAGTCAAACACTCGGAAAATATCCATGCCAGTTTGCACCTAATGGGAGTTAGAGTGATGTTATTGGTTGTAGTCGCCACATGAGTGCTGACAGGACTTACCGCCAGTTCGCAGAACTTGTAGACCACGTTGTCTGGATAACTGGTGTAGCCAACGGCATTGGCGCCGCGCAACAGCATTTGGAATGGTATGTTCGGAATGCGCTTGCGCATCTCCTCCAGGCGCTCCCATGGGCACTCGTGTAGAAACCGTAGAGCTACGTCGAAGGTGGCTCCACCCCAGTTCTCGAGTGAGTACAGATTGTTAAACTTGTGCGCCACATAGGGTGATATTTTGAGCAAGTCATGAGTGCGCACACGCGTGGCCATCAGAGATTGGTGAGCATCGCGGAAAGTGGTGTCCATCAGGAGTAGGTTCTTTCGGGAACGCACCTCCTTGGCAAACGCTTGGGGACCTTCACAGGTAAAGACTTCACGTAGACCCGGTGGTGGATGCGGCACTGTGAAAACCCCGATATTTTTTTTTATAAGATTGGAATAGCGTTTTTAAGATTGAGAAAGCAAAACTGAGCCATTAATGTAGATGGATATATAGACTGATGGGAACCACCAGCTAAGTCGATAATTTGTACTTCAATATAAGCGCAGGATATTTAATATCTAATCCTAAGGTCTGGCATAAAACCTGTTGCACCTACCTGTTGGTATTTCGGGTACTTTTGGGATGATCTGGGATGGCCATAGATATGTAACCAATGGCGTTTGGGATCCATTGACCACAACTTCACCCAAATACGTTAAAAATTTTTGTGCGCGATTTCGAACAAAGATTGAGGATCTCATGAGCTCCGGATGGTCATCTATGAAGTGAGTATCCAATGTACCATTCAAGAACCTCTCATTGTTCAAAACACTAAGGAGAAAGGGAATATTCGTCTTGACTCCACGAATACGGAACTCGCGCAATGCTCGGCTCATTTTGGATGCAGCAACTTGAAAGTCAATAGCATAGGATATCACTTTGACAAGGAGCGAGTCGTAGTGGGGCGATATGATAGCTCCAGGATAAGTCGAGGCGCCATCTATTCGTATGCCCATGCCTTCGCCGGAACGGAAAACTTCGATGCGTCCCATGTCAGGCTGAAAGCCTTGCTCAGGATTTTCAGTGGTTACGCGGCACTGAATGGCAAAGCCACGCGGAACAATGTTCTCTTGGCAGAGTCCCAGTTCCTCAAGTGTCATACCCTCGGCAATGCGTATCTGAGACCGAACCAAATCTATGCCGGTAATCTCCTCAGTCACTGTGTGCTCCACCTGCAACCTGGCGTTCACTTCGATGAAGTAGAAGTTGCCAGATTCATCGCACAAGAACTCCACCGTGCCAGCATTTTCGTATCCAACATGCTTGGATATCTGGATTGCTGCCTCGGTCATCTTGTCGCGAATTTCAACAGGTAATTGAGGAGCAGGTGCTATTTCAATGAGTTTCTGATGTCGAAGCTGAATAGAGCAGTCGCGTTCAAATAGATGCACTATGTTGCCAGCATGGTCGCCCAATATTTGAACTTCTATATGACGCGGATGTTCTATTAACTTCTCAATGAATAGTTCACCATTGCCAAAGGCTGCCTGTGCCTTGGAGCTGGCACGTTCGAAATTCTCTTTAACTTCTTCCATGTTGCGAACGATACGCATGCCACGGCCGCCGCCGCCGTGTGCTGCCTTGAATATGACAGGCAGGCCATGCTTTTGGCAAAACGCCAAAGCTTCCTCCTCAGTGGTAACCGGGCCCTCTGTGCCGGGGACTGTGGGAACACACGCTTCTTTAGCCGCAATACGCGCAGCAGTCTTATCACCCATGGTTTGCATAACTTGGGGCGATGGGCCGATAAAGCGGAGTCCCGCATCGATAACGGCCTGGGCAAAGTCGCTGCGCTCGGAGAGGAAACCATAGCCGGGATGCACTGCATCAATGTCGTTCTCCTTGCAAATGTTTATGATCCCTGGAATATTGAGGTAAGCTTCCACCGGAGCCAGGCCCCTGCCGACCATATATGCCTCGTCCGCCTTCTGACGATGCATTTGCATTTTGTCCATTTCTGAGTAAATGGCAACAGACTTGATGCCCAGCTCATTGCAGGCTCGGAACACTCGAATGGCTATTTCCCCTCTATTGGCAACCAGGATCGATCGTATTGCATTGTGCTTCACCTGTGAAACAGGTAAAATAAGTCGCATTCATTGAGCCTAGGTTTTCATACTCACTATGGAGGAACACCATTTTTTTCTGACAAAGTTACATTTCAGCCAGGGAAACACCTTTCCCAGTGCCCGAATTGCAGGCGGAGAGTTTCTCAAGTTTGCCATTGCTAACACCTAATCGGTTCATCGAATTGCAACATTCATTTCTATATGCTTACAAATCTGATAATAATAATTTCTATTATTGTGCTGGCCTGCAATAGAATATATAAGGATATAAGGCGAATGTTGAAACAACATAATATTCTGTATTTTCAGATGCAGATGTATATATATATATATATATATATATATTAAATAAATAATATAAATATTAATCATAATAATAAATATATAAATATTAATGTAGATCTGGTTTTTATACTCTAGAATGAAGAGTATATTAATTTCATGCCAAGTCTGCTTAGCTGACATTTGTATGTGTGTATGTGAGTGTATCTATATTTACTAGTTTATAACTTTATCTTGAAGGCGCCCACTGGGGCATGTCTAACTGCAAATGTCTATATCGTTTCAAATTAAAATTGGGTAAGCATACATATGAGCTCGTCTATATCAGCTTGAGCTGCATTTGCACCTAAGATAGCTGAAGCTGGCTTAGTTTTAGAGCTTGGCAGTTGGGTAGTATTTTGGTTAGACTTCTACGATGTGAAGATTATATGTATAGGCCCAAAAAATACTAGAAAATCAGCTCTCAAACATGTCACAATACATGTACAATGTCTTTCGCTGCAATACGTAAAACATACGGCTAGTGGTCTTACGTACCTGAAACTATATCGAATTCGATTACTAAATAAATAATAAATAGAGAATTTGAGATCAAAAATATTAATTTTAAAAATGTATATAAAAGCCAAAAATTTAAGCTACGTCATATTTAGTAATAGATTTATATCACAACTAATTTACGACTCAAAAGCCAAAGATTGCTTCAACTTAGAAATAAAATGATATAGTTAAAGCAGAGCCGATTGCTTAAATATATCTTATAGTTTATAAAAGATTTATATTTATTTTCATAGGAAATTTCTTTGTTTATTCACACTTTTAAATGTTATAACATTGATACAAAATTTGGCAAAGGCTTTACAGATATAACATTTAGGATTGGGGGAGTATAACAAAAATTGTGATTTGTGCGTGATTTTGTAACTCTCACAAGATTGTAAACTTTTTCAAAAAGTAATGCCAATACATACATACGTATATACAGATGTACTCATGCTAACATAAATACATACAAATAAAAATGACTTAAGCCTAATATAGTAATCGAAATTAGCTGGCAGCACGCTCCTCACATATAGAAAAATATGTATTATCGGTTTTCCTTGGGTGGTTGCATCTATTCGATGATCAAAATTAAGTCATCGCCGTCTAATTTCATGCCCTTCTTGACTTCCACCTTCTTGACCACGCCGCTTTGTGGCGCCTGGACAACCATTTCCATTTTCATGGCCGACAGGACAACAAGGGGCTGACCCTTCTCCACTTTGTCGCCAATTGTCACACGCACGTCAATTACATCGCCGGGCATTGGGGCGCCCACTTCACCTTTCACGGTCTTATCAGCCTTGGGATGAATGCGGATTTCCTAAAATTAAACAAAGGTACATCAGATGGTGCTAATAGATAACCATGGTCATTGATGTACCTTCATAGCCTCCTTGTCAGGAATGTGGACAGAGCGCAGTTGACCGTTCAATTCGAAGAACACCTCGCGCTTTCCATTCGGTTTGAGATCGGCAGCCATGGCCAAGGCCTTCATGCTCAGAGTCTTGCCGCGCTCCAAGGTAACTTCGAACTCTTCGCCCACTTTGGGGCCTGAAAGGAATATGCGAGTATCGAGCTTATCGACGGGACCATATTGCTCGCGATAGTGCAAAAATTCATTGGTCACTTGAGGATAGAGCGCTGCCGATACAACATCACGATCGGTAACGTTTACATGAGATTCACTCAGCTCGCTTTTCAGCTTGTCAAAGTCCAGTGGCGCCATCTCAGCACCAGGTCGGCCTTCAATGCGTGGCATGTCCTTCAGAACACGAGTACGGAATGGTTCTGGAAAGCCACCATATGGAATACCAATATAGCCCTGTAGGTACTCAATCACCGATTTGGGGAAGGACAACTCTTCGGCCTTCTCAACCACTTGAGCACCATTCAGATTGTTTTGCACCATGAACTGAGCCAAATCACCAACAACCTTGGATGATGGAGTGACCTTAATTATGTCGCCCAGCACGAAATTGGCTTCCCGGTAAGCCTTCTTGACATCCTCAAACATATCACCTAGACCCAGGGAGAACGCTTGGAATTGCAGATTGGTATATTGGCCACCGGGTATTTCGTTCAGGTAGACATCAGCATTTCCTGATCTCATCGTGGTGGTGCATTCGAATGGTCCGTAGAGAGTACGGGTTTGCTCCCAGTACGCCGAATACTCGGAAACATCTCCTAGGTCCAGCTGTGTGTCCAAGGGAGTACCCTGAAGAGATGCAACTACCGCTCCCATACTTGGCTGGGAGGTCATTCCCGACATCGAGTCGACAGCCACGTCTACAACATCAGCTCCGGCCTGAGCACACGAGAGCATAGACGCAACACCAGCTCCCGAAGTGTCGTGAGTGTGGACATGAATTGGCACGTCGGGATGCTTGTCGCGGATGGCAGTAATGAGCAACCTACACAATGTACACATTCATGAAATATGTGCCGGGTAACTCAGTTATACTGGCATGCATACCTAGCCGACTCTGGCTTTAACAGACCCGCCATGTCCTTGATGCACAGGACATGAGTTCCCGCCTTGACAAGTTCATCGGCCAAGTTTGTGTAGTACTTCAGGTCGTACTTTGTTCTCTTGGGATCACTTACATCTCCTGTGTAGGAGATGGCCGCCTCAACAACACCACCTGCCTTACCTGCCGCCTCCATGCCGAGGATCAAGTTCGGCAAATAGTTAAGGGAGTCAAACACTCGGAAAATATCCATGCCAGTTTGCACCTAATGGGAGTTAGAGTGATGTTATTGGTTGTAGTCGCCACATGAGTGCTGACAGGACTTACCGCCAGTTCGCAGAACTTGTAGACCACGTTGTCTGGATAACTGGTGTAGCCAACGGCATTGGCGCCGCGCAACAGCATTTGGAATGGTATGTTCGGAATGCGCTTGCGCATCTCCTCCAGGCGCTCCCATGGGCACTCGTGTAGAAACCGTAGAGCTACGTCGAAGGTGGCTCCACCCCAGTTCTCGAGTGAGTACAGATTGTTAAACTTGTGCGCCACATAGGGTGATATTTTGAGCAAGTCATGAGTGCGCACACGCGTGGCCATCAGAGATTGATGAGCATCGCGGAAAGTGGTGTCCATCAGGAGTAGGTTCTTTCGGGAACGCACCTCCTTGGCAAACGCTTGGGGACCTTCACGCACAATGATGTCACGCAGACCCTGTGGTGGCTCCGTGACTGTGAGATACCCGTGGAAGTTTTCATAATTAGGATTATATCATATATAATAGACACATGCACTTAAATATAAATATAAAGCAATACAAGAATACAAAACGAACAAATTTTAATTGAAGCCACCAAAGAAAAACTGTGTGTGTGTGTTTGTGTTTTATGAAAAACCAATAAAACCCGTTTAAATGTGCTTAAGTTTACTGTGTTTACATACAAAGTGTACCTAAATGTACCTGAACGTTGGCTGCTCTGTATGGCAATGAAAGATTGATGATATTATTGTTGATTATTGTCTAATAAACAAATGTGTTTTTTTAATTTTTACTCAATACTTACAAAAAATTTAATATATTTAAATAATTTATATATATAATATATTTTATATTAAAAATAATATATTTAAATAATTTATATATATAATATATTTAATATTAAATAGCACTAAAAGCTAAACCAGATTGGACCTGCATTTTCAAGTTTTTTTTCAGCTTAAACCGAAATCGATAAATATCGATGTTTAGCAAGCAGATAACTTTATGAAAATGTCTACCATATTTTTAGCATATTCTTTGTTCAATCTAAATTGAAATGTTAGCAATCCTAATATGTCTATTTAAAGTTGAGCGTAAGCCCTATTTATGTTAGGTAGATGAAGTCCACTTAAATATACTTTTTAAGTACTTCCTAGTTAGCATTTTGTTATGTTAATCGAAGCTAAGCAGCAGCTCGCAACATTGACTGAGTTAATCAAACAAGTAATACGTTGGCCCATATATATAGACTACTAGCTTATATATGCTTTATATATATAATCATATAATTTTTTTAATCTAAATTTATACAGGATTATGTATTTACATATGAGTTTGATCAGGTTCGATCGGGGCAGATGAGGTATTAAGAAGTGCAGCGTTAAACGTACCTTTTGCCCCGCCGCTCTTTTCGCGTTCTAAGGCTTCCGGGGACAGATCTTCATTGGAATGATAATATCATGACAACATTTCGTTTATGAACAAGGTGTTGGTAGCAAAGTGTGTGTGTGTGTGGGACGATTGTATTTGCGTATGGTAATTGTTGCAATAGCAAAGTTTTTGTGTTTGGTTTTTGTTTAGAAAAAATAAAGTAAAAAGAAATGCAAAACATAAATTAAACATATTAATGAACGCAGATATTCAACGAGACAGGTGCAGTTAACCTTCCACATAAGGAATAATACTTCTAGAAAAAGTTAAAGTTTTTAAAAGGAATTTCAAAGAGTTTTTACTTTAAATTATTTTAAATTTCGGATTTAGTTTGGAGGAGTTTTACTTTAACTTTTAATTAGAAGTTTCGATATCAAGCTTAAACTACTTTTGTCTATTCAAAAATAAAAATTTACGTAACTCCATCTCGCAACTATTTTGAAAACTATCTTTTTTATATGGTTTCCGATTTATACATTTAAATTTCATGCCATTTAAAGACTTCAAATGTGGACTCAGGTACAGTAGAAATATTGAATAGTCTAAAGAATATGTAGTAATATTCTCTTATCAATTTAATAATTGTTTTATGCAAGACTTTTCAAGTTTCCAGTGAGTGAGAAAAGAAAATGACAGAAAAACTTCCATTTTTATGAACCAATTTGATAGACAACAAAATCTGAAAGGTAAAAGTTATCAAGACTAAAGCTGAAACAATAATTAAAGCAACAGCCATTTGATAGCCACAAATCCGAAAAGCGCATGCCTTAAACCATTTAAACAATTCCACTTACCCAATGGCACCTGTGGTACATGGGGATTCACCTCCGAAGGCTTCAGCGTTGTTGCCAATGGCGTCTGTGGTCCATTGACCAGCACCTCGCCCAAATAGTTCAGCAGTTTCTGAGCACGATTCTGTGTGGTAGAGAACTTGAACAGCTGTGGATGCTCATCTATGAAGTAGGTGTCCAGCACACCGTGCAAGAACTTCTGGTTCTCAAGCACGTTAAGGAGGAAAGGAATATTCGTCTTGACTCCACGAATGCGGAACTCACGCAACGCGCGGTTCATTTTAGACGCTGAGCTCTGCAGATCACTGGCGTGGGATATCACTTTGACAAGGAGCGAGTCATAGTAGGGCGATATGATAGCTCCGGCATAGGTCGAGGCACTGTCTAGACGAATGCCCATGCCTTCGCCAGAACGGAACACTTCAAGGCGACCTGTGTTGGGCTGGAAGTCATTGGCGGGATCCTCGGTTGTGACACGACACTGAATGGCAAAGCCACGGGGAACAACATTCTCTTGGGTGAGTCCCAGCTCCTTAAGTGTCATACCCTCAGCAATACGTATCTGAGACTGAACCAAATCTATGCCGGTAATCTCCTCAGTCACTGTGTGCTCCACCTGCAACCTGGCGTTCA